AGCTAAGGGGCTCCACCAAACATTCGAATTCGTATCCAATCCTTACAATCCAAAATCCTTAATGCTCCATACTTTGTCACAAATAAAACTATTCAGAAAGACCTTAATGTACCATATGTCGCTGATTTAGCTCGAGCCAGATATCTATCCTTTCATGATAAACTTCAGCCCCATCCAAATCCGCTTGTTTCCACTCTTGCTTCTTCCTCGATTCCTGATAATCCTCCTAGGCGTCTGAAAAGGAGATGGCCTCGTGATCTTCTTACTTAAAATTATTTAGAGAGTGCTACCACTGGGTAGTAACTCCTCAAGCCTGTACATGCCATTATTTATATTTGCGCATATTTACTAGTTGTATTTGTATACAGTTGTAAATTCCATTAAAAAAACAAAAAAAAAAAAAAAAAAGATTGCTATCTGGAAAATATCGAGATATTTCTTTAACAGTATGGAAACGATACTGTTAAAGAAATACCTAAAAACAATCGCGGTCAAACATTTAAGCCGTCAAGTTATCCGTTTTTTTTTTCTACTCCCAATTTTTTTCGCAACCGATGAATTTTGGCACCTTATCCTCCACCTTTAATATTGCCCGTGAAAAACCTTTCCTTTGTGTAACGTCACAATTTTAATATTTCTTGATAAACAATTCATTGACCAATCCTGTATTGAATAATATGTAAATTTATATTGTTTTTAAGTGTTATATAAGTGAATTATTATATTTATTTATGGGATACTGTTTTTAAGCTGTAGATTTTTTTATTAATATTGACGAGATTCATGAATGAACCTAAACATATTTATTTATTGTATATTTTAGATTACTGTGGAGGCCAGAGTTTCCTCGAAACGTTCAAATAGATTTTGTAATAAAATATCAATTTTTGATTTATTTATTTACGAGCAATAAGCAAATGAACCAATATAAATTGAGCAAAGATCAAACAAGCATAATGAAAAAAATAAAAATATTGAATGGAATCAACTTTAGAAACGTAAGAATCAAAAGAAATAGGTGATGCAATTACTAATATATAAAGTCATACATTTTTCGGAAATCAGTTTGGATATTAAGTCAGAGGTATATGTCGACTACATTTTTTTCCCACTTCCATGAAAATGCCTTTTCTAAGAAATATTTTATCTTTGAAACAAATAAACTGTTAAAATATTTATTCAAACACAAAATTACTTACTAGGGCTCACTGATAATCATATTTGTAATACTGCTTTCGATTTCACTCACGAAATTATAAATACTTAAACTACCACATAATATAAAATGCATTGCTAATGACGCTTTATTTTTTTGTCTGAATATAAATTTACCCACGCTCATTATTAGTCAAAATATGATCTACTATGTTCATATATGATGACAATTCATCAAAATCAGACATTTCGTTGCCTTAGTTTGAAAATGTTCAAACGAACAAATTAGGAAAAATTGAGTTTTCATTCATAAATCACTTGCAACAATGTTATTTATTTTCCAGATTATGATATTAAAGCTCACAAAGAAAGTATTACATTTTCGACTTTGGAAAGAGCTGGTGCAGTCCAAAGTATATCGAAGTCCATGTTTATACCTGGGGGATTAAGTCCTCCAACTCCTGCTGTGTTCAAATATCAATAACAATTCTTCAAAATAAAACATACATTTTCTTTATTTATGTCAGGTTTTAGGGATTTCTGCCCAACTGTGCATCCCCTGAAAATAGATGCCCAGAGCTACATCTAATTTTGTTTTTCTGTCTCAATCATGGTCAATCAATCATGAATAAAGATATTTTTACGGTTTATTCATTCTAGACTTGTGCAAATAGTCATTGAGTGACTGGCCAACTAGTGGCAAAAGGAAAAGATATGAGTACTACATCTAAATAAAATATTTAATTTGATTTTTAAAAAGCTATACAAATCAGACCATATACAATATGATTGCCCGTAATAGTCTAGGAGAGGGTATTTGTAGGATATAGTGGATATTACACAGACAGAATATGTTTTAATTTTGTCTTTTATATACTTTGGTTCTATCTATTTATTTGATTTTCATCATCGTTCTATCTTGTATTTATAACCCAAATTAATTATAAAATAGACTGAAATTTCGGTATTTATTAAATTGCTTTAGTCGAATTTTAACATCCGGCATCATCTTCTCTTTTTAAAACTATATTAAACAAATTAGCCCATGCAAATAGTTCGCAAAGAATATTTGCATTGGTCATTAAACAAATGACAAAATAGTAAAGAAATTAAATAATTCTATGTATCATAAGAAGAAGGGAATCATTTCCTATTTTTTCGGTAATTGTATTTAAACAAGGAAATGAAATTTATTATAAAACTCATGATTTTTTCAGACGCCGTGGAGTGTTATCACGGATCGAAGAAGAAGCAAGGTTAGAAACGGTTAGAAGGTTAGGATTGGGATGGTTCTGAAGTTTATTGTGAAAAGATAGGTATCAGGATTGGACCAAATCGGAAACATATGGAACTTTAAGGTCGCTATGGATGATTTTGGATTGTAATGATTGATACGAGAGGAATTCGTTAGCTCAGTGGGGACCGAAAGCTCAACTCCATATGTCCAAATATGCCTTATTATAGTCATGTATATGAGTCTTTTGTATTTAATTGGGAGTTTAGAACGTTTGTAAAGAAAGCGCTGAAGTTGTCGGAAACGATAAAACTTCATTCATGTTTTAAACCAAAATATTTACGAATTACACTAACCTGTATCTTACATGAAAATGGTCCTAATTCAATGATTAATTTTTGTTTTATAGGGAATTTAGTAATCTATCATCTAGATATAAGCTATATCTTTAATAATGATAGGGGTACCAACAAAAAAAATGTATACTTTTTGAGTTTTTCACAAATAAAGTTTCTGTTCCTTCATTATTTTTTTCCTGAAATTTCGAGGGTTATATGACTATTTTTCCCTCCTGAAGGAGGAGATCTTCAAAATGAGGGTTGGTCATAGGATTAGATGACGAAGATATGGAGTACTGACAAAAAAAAAAAAAAAAAAAAAAAAAAAAAAAAAAAAAAACACTTTGATAAATAATATATATAGAAAATAGAAAAATAACAACAAAAGTCCATGAATGAAAAATCTTATATGATAGTCTCCATAAGTAGAATAGTAAGCATATAAAATGTTTCCCTTTTTGATAATTATCACAATAGGCTAGTCACTGCGACAATGATTAAAAGCTGTAATTTTAGATAATTAGCTGTGATGATTTTTAAATTTAAATTTGTGATCTGTCGGCTTCAATCTCAAGGAAAAATTTGAGAAGAGGCGGAATGACGAATTGATTGAAGGACGAACGGAGGAAACCTAATAGGAAAGTGCAAGTTTTCAGAACGCCTAAGGTCGCTTCCGATTTCCGGATTGCCTTGTATGAAATGCCAACTTAAGCTATCATAATTCATAGTAATTGTGGTTAAATATATAGCTATTGCAAATCTATTTTTAATAGATGGGATGTTAGTTCGAGTCAATATCATTCCCTTTCTCCAGTCCTAATATTTAATAGGTCAAAATAAATTTAATAATTATATGTGTACTTTAAAGTCTTGATTGATAAAAATGTGTAATACTCAAAAACTCTGACCGGTTGGTAGGATTGACAACCACTTTGAAAACATCACCAGATGTTTCTGAGGACGTAATGTCTCAGCAGTATCCAGTTTTTAACAGCTAAAGAGGAGTATAGCTTTTTCCTTCTCCATCAGTATACCGGCGTTAAAGGCTTAATACTTTTCTTCAAATACATAATGAATCAGTGAAATCATTTCCAATAGAAGATGATATTCATATATTTAGATATGGGCGAATAGTCGATCGACTAATTATATGGGTAAAAAAAAAATTCAGAACTTTCAGTCAAGATATTTTTATTGAGTTAGCCGACGTTTCGACCCAAATATGTGGGTCATCCTCAGGGCTACCGTTCGGCAGTTTACCGATCTCTAAAGTTTTAAATATTGGGATCTATGAGTTCTTGTCTCGACTGAGGATGATTCATATTTTTGGGTCGAAACGTCGGCTAACCCAATAAAAATATCTTTACGATTTTTTCAAATTAAATTTGAAATTTTACATTTCAAATTAAGATTTTTCCAAATCAATTTAAGAATTTTCGCAACACCAAATGCATAGGGTATTTTTGTTTTATTATTAAATTCGTTAGACGTAGTACCTATTATGAATAATAAGGTTAGGCATTATAGCACTTAAAGTCCAATTTTAGTAATTTTAAAATTAAAGTTTAAATGAATTTTCTACAAGTAAAAACAAAAACAAGTAACTTTGACGCAATCCCGACAAACAGAAGAACTCTTATTTATTTCTAAAACACGTGTGACACTACTTAAAGGAAATTTGTAAATTTTTGCCCGTAGACAAAAATTGGTGGACACACGGCACACGCACGCAGCGTTAATTTCTTACAGTGCAGAGATTGTCTAAAAATGAAGATAACGAATAGGATAATGCTATCATTATCAATTTAAGAATTGATAATTTCTTTAAGTAGTGCCAGTCACACGTGTTCTAGAAATAAATAAATGTTATACCGTTTGTCTGGCTGGCGTCAAAGTTACACATTTTGGTTTTTACTTCTAGAAAATTAATTTGAACTTTTATTTTAAAATTTCCAATTAGACATTGAATTGAATGCTATAATGTCTAATCTTATTATTCATAATGACGACAAGGTCTAAGGAATTTAATAAGAAAACAAAAATACCTTATCCATTTGATGATATAAAAATTTTTAAATTGATTTGGAAAAATCTAAATTTGAAATGAAAAATTCTAAATTTGATTTGAAAAATTCTAGTTTTATTTGGAATGTTCTAAATCTAATTTGAAGAAATCCCTATTTGATTTTCAAAATTCTAAATTTGACTTGGAAACACTGTATTCTAAAACTAACATATGTGTTTTTTTTTTAAATTGTCAATAAAACATTTTGTTACATTTATTAAGAATTTAATATTTAAACCAGCAAATTAATTGATACCTGCACAAACACAACTCTCTCAGTCGCGGAAAATGTAATTTTCTCCCTTGTGAAAAACAAAAAGGCAGCTCCTGGTACAATAGTATTATCATTGATCTGTCCAAGCCCATCAATGATTACCACCATTGAAAATGATGACAAACGTGGAATTGACTGTTTACTACGCCTAGGAATAACCCCAATGTATACACGATAAAAAGGGGATGATGTTAAATATTCGTTTAAGTTGTGTTCGGCTGAACGAATTTCAGCTGACAAATAATTAAGCTCTTCGGTAGTCCAAAAGCGTAAATCCAAACTATCACAAAAACAGTCCAGATTCCTTCTGCTCCAAAATGCCGCTGCCGCAGCGTTCTCGACATTATTGGAGCATTCCAGTGCTTCTCCATAAAGATACGTGTATGGAGTTTCTGCGGGAATGATCATCCCCTCTAAACGCCCAAGCTTTCACCACATTGAGAAAGTAAGGCAGAAATATACCGACGTCAGAAGGGTTGTCATTAACCAATTTCTCAAATAACTTCAGTGGATGAAATTCTCCTATTCCAGAAGGTGCTGAATTAAGTAATTTATTGTTAAGTAACTTACCAGTGTATTCGATTTGTGATGGAAGATTATCCAGCAGATTTTTAAAAACTTTAAGAAAATCATTTTTATCCTTCGTTTCAAGAAATCGATCAATCAATGTTCCGTCGATCAAGATTCTAAATTCAGGGACGTTTTTAAGAACTTCAATTATAAACTCTAGGCTTCGAAAGCCTAGCAGTAACGAAAAATCATGTATTGCAACAACTATTGCATGTCGTACACCACTGGTAAGAAAGATTTTGGCGTTTTTATTGTGGAACAGATTGCCCTTTTCTTCAGATGGGTAGCATAGGAGTGGACCGGGTAACTTATGAGACATGATCTTGACTGAGAATGGAAGTGTGTTTCCAAATTCACAGTAAGCGGTTTCTCCGAGTTCTTTGGCTGTTAAACTTTTGAAGAACGTATTTATGTACTGATCTTTAGTTACTATGTAAGTTTCGTAGAATTTGTCTCCTCCTATTATATATTCACCAAACGGGATTTCACCATCGATCGGGTTGTAGCCCTGTGCAGAGACGTATAGTCGGCCAGCTAAACCTTGGTCGCCAAGCATTCCCCAAGGCTGGCTTAAAAGGACTCCTTTCAACTCCATATTTTACTTACTTAAAAGCTATCTAGAAATTAAATTGATAAAACAATTTACCTAAGCAAACAACTGTTTTAAGAAAATAAACAAATGTTGAACCAGACTGAATTTAATTTTTGGGCACCAATAAGTAAGAATGAATTTGTGCTATTAATATAACATAAATTATACATACCTAATTAAAATTTTAATTAAATATTAAATTTAATTTTTTTTTTTTTACTTATTAGAATCTATTTAATATTTGATTAATTTTAAGTTGTTCCCAATGGTTTCTCTCGCACTAACTTAGGTTATCATAGATTTTATAAGTGTAAGACCAATTGTATCTGATTACCATGACTGAATAGCCCATAAAATTGGGTCTGATCAATTGAATGAAACACAAAATTGAAGCGCTACGATGATGTTTGCGTTGTTCGCTAATAGCTATGTAACGCTTTTTTTGAGAGAACGCCTGGATCGATTTTTAAACTTGATGACTCAATAAGACAGTACTTCAACGTCAAGGATGTTTTTAGATTTTAGAAACAAGCCTCACTCAAGGTTCGACTCGCGCCCTTAAGGCTCAGCTCTAGAACCTTTGGGCCCTGAACCTTCAGGGCTCCAGCTTAAGGCTCAATAGTTTCGAGCTTTGATGATTTTTTTTTTCGAACAGTTTAAATTATATTCGTAAAAAATTATATATTTTTTTTTCTTTCAGTTGGTAGTAAAATTTTGAATATATTTCCAAAATAGTATTTATCTGTTGATAATAACAGTGTGAATATACTTCTGAAATATAATGTGACTAAATAGATAGGGAAAAACAAGTAAGTTACCATAGACCTCTTAGTACTTGAGCCTTGGTGGATTCCTGGATGTGTGTGTGTGTGTGTGCGTGCGTGCGTGCGTGCGTGCGTGCGTGCGTGCGTGCGTGCGTGGGTGTGTGTGTGTGTGTGTGTGTGTGTGTGTGTGTGTGTGTGTGTGTGTGTGTGTGTGTGTGTGTGTGTGTGTGTGTGTATATATATAGGTAAAATACATATGTTTGTGGAAGACAGTCTTCTCTTAAACTGCACTATACTTTTAAATTTTTTTATAGCATTCTAAATTTTCATATATGCAAATCTAAAATAGTTTTGACTTTAATAATTGTGAAATTGTAATATTATATGACTAAATGTTTATAACCATCAATAAGAGATTAAAACTGGACCACTAATTTGCAATCGTTTTGTTTTTATAATTAATTAGAGAACAGAATATTTATTTTCTATTTTATTAAAGTTGAATTAATGTTTTGAGAACATTTTACCTCATCTTCAGGATCTTTTTTTTTTTTTTTTGTTCCCCACTTCCTTCCTTTTAGGCTCTACGGGGGTTCTCTCGGGACAGGGGATAAGGACGGGGGTTAATGCCAAAGTTAAAAGATCCTCTTGGCACCAGGACACGAACTCGGTATTAATTTATCATATAATCTTCTATCCAGGTTTATAGGCAATGAGTGGTACTATGCACACTCATTAGCTCACGGCCATCCCCTGGTCCCTTAACTTCAGGATCTGTTATTAATTATATGATATATTTATATATGTAAATGGAAAAATATAATTGTCAATATTAAATATTTTATCCTGACCTATTTATTCTCCCATTTAACATTACTGGTAATTGATCATTTACATTCTATTCTATGTTTATATTATAACTGTCATTTTGTAGTTAAATTTTAAAATTTGATGAAATATGAGGTATTTTTTAATTACTTAATTTTGAATAATACAATGCTAGACTTTTAAGGTTATAGGTAATATTATATTAGAGCAAGATAACTAATATTAACAAATTTATTTACTTAATAACATATATAATTGTACAATGGATTATAATATTCTGCCATAAATACTGTAACAAAAGTTGAACTTTGTCTAAATTCTTAGGTACTATTTAGATAAACGTTACCTCTATCAGGTTTATTTTCTTTACATGTCTGGATAATAATTCCAATTAGTTTTTATTTTTTCTTCGCTCAGTTAACATGGAGTGGGGTGATAAAGAAAACCCAATAGCTGTGATCGCCTTACAAAGTTGGAAATTGTAGGTCAGAGTTTTTCAACACATTGAAACCTTTGGGTATCAGCCGTGTGTTTGTGTAATGCACTATAAATAGATATAATGAGATCCTTTCTGTATGTGACAGACCGCAACCGGGCACTATCAGTACGGCAAATGCAGTTAGAGCAGTGGCTGCTCGAATCAGAAGATATCGCATTCGAAAACGACAAATCATGTCTCGGGAAATGGAAATCTCTGTCAGATCAATGTCTCGCATAATAAAAAGTTACCATAGGATGGGAGCATTTTGAAGAATGAAAGGACAAAGGCTAACCACTTTCCTAAACAAATTAGACTGGATAGATGCAAAGTGCTCCTTGGCCATTACACTAATGGTCTTCAACGAAAGATTTTGATTAGCGATGAGAAAACTTTTACAATTGAAGAAAAACTTAATCGTTGAAATGATTGTGTGTAGGCACACATCTCTAAAGAAGCCCAGGAAGTGGAGTAGAAAGAGGTCATCACCCTTCCTTAGTGATTTTTTTTTGGTGGGGAATCATCACCAAGTTTGGTGTGGAGTTTGCTTTGATGGCACCACAAAGCTCCATTTTTGTGAAAAAAGAGTTAAACAGCCGCTAAAAACTATCAGGACGGTATTTTGGAACCTGTTGTCAAGCCTCTAAATGATATCTGTTTGCTGGAAGTCATTGGGTTTTCCAGCAGGATTCGGCTCCAGCTCACAAGTCCAGGTCAAGTCAGCAGCGGCTGCAAAAGAACATTCCAGAGTTCATCTCTGCCTCGAATAGGCCATCAGGAAGCCCTGATCTCTACCCATTAGATTATCAGCTTTGGTCTGAACTGGAGAGGATGGCATGCCACAGAGAACACCCTAACTTGGAAAGCCTCAAACAATCTCTGGTCTGAGCAGTTGAGCGCTTTCCTCAAAAAGTGCTGCATGCTGCTATTAATGACTAGCCATGCAGAATTAATGCCTTTGTCAGGGCAAAAGGGAGACATTTTGAGTAATTTCTTTTTTGTTTTAATCTCTATAGATATACATTTTATTTTCAAATAAAGTTTTTGAAAAAATTAATTTTTCTGTTGTAATAATATTTATGATAGGACTAGGTAGACACTGGCATGTCCATTCCATACTTATACCTCAAAATTGTAGAAAATTGATACAGCTATCGCAATGTCACTCTTGTGATTTGAGAAGAAAATTTTCTATTGAATATTTTGATCAATATGTTAAAACTAATTGTAAGCCTGACAATGAAAGATAAATAATAGACACCAATAAAGGAGAACATATAGTGCAAGTCACTGAACTAAGCAAATTACAACGAACTGGTTATGTCATAGGGATGAATGGAACCAGGAAAGTAGGCTGCTGAAAACTTAAGATAGGCGGATTTAGTGGCTAATAATGCCAGAATTCTAATTGGTACCAGTAATTAGAAAACAGTACCAGTTATAAGTCATTGCTGGAGCAAGCCTCACTCAGAAAGTAGCCTTAACTCAGGATGTAGTCCCACATAATAATAATAATACTTAATTAATTAAAGAGCAAAAAGTAAAGTCATGTTAATATCTGAGAAGAAGAATGATATGCATTTTATTTGTAATGAAGAGGAGTTAGAGGTTGTTGGCCTATTCCCAATATAATCTGTCAGAATGTAATGAAAATGAAATACCTCAGCTCAGTGGCTGGCAAAACACGAAGAGATTGCACCAAAAACTAGATAATCTGGAAGAAGATACCCTGATAGTGATAAGTGATACCCTCATTGAAAACTACCCAGCATACAAGTAAAGAAGATAACTGAGACCCAAGAAAAATAATGGAAGCTTGACAAACTGGTGAAGACCCAGAGGCAGACTATTATACAACCCAGGATATCATAAAATGAATATATCACCAGGCTGGCCATTGAGAAAGGATTAAAAACTGTCGGAAAACTGAAGATAGTGGCACAAAATTGAGAGAACTGCTTCCAGTGGTAACAGGCTCCTCTACGCTGAGAGGCAGAAGAAGATTAATTAAAAAGCTCCATATAAAATTGCATTTTATCTTTTTTATGATTCATGTTACACTGAAACTGTAAATTATTTCTGGTAAGAAATGCACAATAGATCTTAAATGTAAAATGTTTGGGATAATTTCTTTCTGGTTACACAGTTATAGACCTTTAAAATTTGTAATTCACTGCAAAATGAATTTTACTCAAGATTTGTAAGATAACTAAATGTATTTTGATCTGAAACTCCTCAATTATGATATCAATATAAGTTATTTTTAAATCATAAATTAAAACCCCTATTAACAAATTTTCTTTCTTGCTCATATAGTATATCAGAATAATACTTCGGGATGTTCCAAGAACCAATATAATCAATTTAGCTACTTACTTTTATAATTATAAATATTTTTCACTAAGATATTTACATGGTACCAGTTAGTTTTCAGCAAATGAAATTTTATATTTCTTTATATGAAAATTACTATTGAAAACCTTTTTTTTCATAATACGAATATTAAATAGAGTTAAATAGTTTAAGAAATAACTTGTACTAAAAGTGAGTCATTAATAACTAATAAATAATGCAATGGCTAGTTAGATGAGCTTATGTAAAGAAACTTTAATTTGAGTTAATTTTAGCAAAACGTGCACATTTTAAAAATAAAAAATAATATACTACATAATTACAATTATTACAATAATTTGACTCTTTTGCAACAACTCTCCCTGTATTGAGTATAAAAAATGACACTTGAGAGATTATTTTATTGTTATGTTGTAGTGTTACAGCCCTATTATATTATAGTGATGTACACCTAATAATATACTTTGTTGCAAACTCATGAAAAAGTGAAGAACTTGGTTAATGAAAATTGTTTAATTTATTTTCATGATGATTTGAACTCCTTATTAATGATTTTTCGTATAGCTACTGTTAGTGCAAAACATCTTAAGTAAAAATTGAGTTTTTTTTTTTACAAAAGATCATAAAAACTGATTATTTCTTTATGATTTATTAGTATAATTTAATATTTTATTTCCT